GTGAACGTCTGACTTAAACTCTGACCATCCACCCATCCTGTCTCTCGGTGACCTTACATGTCCCTCCAGGGATGTGGATCTCAGTAAAGTGGCCTAATTTCCTGCCGTTCTTAGCAAACCGTCAGTGGCATCTACATCAGAAGGACACTTTGTCCTTCACTCTGCCTTGTATGAGCCATCACCCGCTGCCTGCCGTATTTAGCTCAGGTCATGTAATTTTTCTCAGGCACCTTTCCCAGTGTGAGTCCAGTGATTTCTACAGAACTCCAAGGAGCCTTCGGAGGGTAAACAACAATGAACTTCCCTTGGACTTCCCTTGGGCACAGAGAATCCGGGAGTGCTCAGCTTGAAGAGCAGAGCCAGGAAGACACCACCCACGGTTCAAGATGCTTTCAGGGACATTCGTAGGTGGGGTCACCAAAGAGGGTGTTCACATTATTTAAATAGAGAAAGAACTCCAGGAAGAAAGGGACTTAGGAGAACAGTATGGGAAAAGGAGAAAGTTCACCAGAGACACGGCACCAGTTGGCATGACCTGATCCCATGGGGTGCTCTTCAACACCCCCAAACCAGTTTCATCTTGTGATAAGAAGATGGTCTACTGTCCCCCTTGCAATAGAAACTCATCTTCAGGGCTTCATGGGGAGAGTGGGATACATAAATTTGGGTGGACTGGAGCAAGGCTGGGCTGTGTTGAGATAGTACTGTACCATTGTTGAGGAAGGGTCAGGCAGAGCATCCAAGTCTCTATGGAAGAAGTCCATTTTCCATAAGGTCACCGCTTTTGAGAGTCCTGCTGAAAGCCCCATGGTGAAGCTCTTGGAGCACACAGAATGGGACACCAAGGTGTCGGTAGCATCATTCTGACCCAGGCGCCAGACACAATAGAACCAAAGTCTGGATAATCTTGACTTCCAGACATTCAAGCCCGCCCAGCAGTTTGCGAGTTCTCAGCTGGGCTTCTGACACAGTAGAATTCAAGGAACCTACACCAGCTATGCTACCTGAACTTCCGGGACAAAAGGAAATCCATGAGCACTGTGACACAGGCAGGCTCTGCCCAGTCCTAGAATAGTTGGCCATGCAATAATGAGTGAAGAGTGTGTCCATCTCAGCAAAATATTACATCATCGCCTCCAGTCCATCTTAGCAAAATATTACATAGCCTCCAGTCCATCTCAGTAAAATATTACATAGCCTCCATTTTTGCAGATGGAACCTGACTCTGAGAATATGAGTAAGTTTTAGTGTCCTCATTGATCATAGCAGAGCCAGGGATGGAAGTGAGGTTTACCAAAGCAGGGTCTTCAGTGTTCTGACCATGGTGGTGACTGCCCCATGGAAATATGTGTGGGGGCAGCCTGCTGAGGGCTCAGGCTCAAGAGGTGGAGGAACCCAGTTGCAGCTCTTGCGTGTGTTTCTGGAGGGAATCTGCTGCATGATCACCAGGGAGCCCTTCATATCTATTATTCTCTTCAGATCACAATGAAATGTTCTAGGGGCCCTCTATGTACAATCAAAACCCTAAGGACTTCTTCTCTGTCACTGGAAAAAAGATGTTTCCTAAGATTTTCATCTGCTGTTCAGACCCCAGAGATTGATTTCTGCTCCTGCTGCTGGCGTTTTTTCTTTCTGAGCATGCAGGTCTCCAACAACACAAACACAGTGGGAACCTCCTGGATAGCCCGAGATGGGAACACCCTTTTAGGAAGCTGGGCTAGCAGCTCCATAAGCTGAGTGTTAAGAGGACTTCAACTAAAACCTGTTTGAACTTGAAATCCCGATAGAAAGGCGTTTGCTTTTTCATAGAGAACTTTGTTCCTCATATTCTCATAGTGAGAGGAAAAAGGAGAAGAGGTTAAGAGATAGCTCAGTCAGTTGGTAAACTGAACGATCTAAGTTTGATCCCCAGAACCTACTTAAAAAAAAAATGAGACAGCTGGATATAGATGTGTGTGCTTGACATCTAAGCACTGGGAGGCAGATCTGGGACTCCTGAGGCTCCGTGGCCAGCCAGCCTAGACTCTCCAGCAATCCTCAGTTCCCGGTGAGAGGCTGTGTTTCAAAACAAAAAGGTAGTGGGCAATGAAGAAAGACTGAAGCCAAGATTATCCTCTGGCCCACAAGCATGAAAGCACGTGCACACACACATGCATGCACACACGCACGTACAGAGGCGTGAAGTGAGAGGAAAAAGAAAACAAAGAGATGGTAGATTAAGCAGTGAGATATACAATCTATTAGCACTTTGAATGAAAACAATCCACTCCCTAACTGAACTAAGTGTAGAGATTCTGGAGCCCAGAAAGCAATGCTTCTTGAGGGTCAGGTAGCTGATGTTGGTGCCGTCTGGAGATTCAGCCTCTATGTTCGTTCCTATTTGCACACTATGTTTTTCCTATTTATTTTTACTTGCATGCAATTGTTGGGATGTAGATTTCTTGGGGGATAAAATTGGATCATTCTGTTGTGGGAGTGACCAACAGGCTCTTAGAGACAGCAAGGGCTGGAGATATACTTGATGGCACAGCCACTGCCCTGGTGTCCATTTGCCACAGGTTAACATCTCCTGGGAAGATAGTCTCAAGGAGACATTGCCTGGAACAGGTTGACTTGTGGGCATGTTTGTGGGGACTCTCTAGCTCATTCACGGAGATGGAAAGACCCACTCTGAACAGGAGTGGCACCTTTTGAGGGGCTGAGCCCTACACTGTGTGAGTGAAGAAAGCCAGCTGAACAGAGTCATCCAGCAGACATTTTAGGCGCATTCATTTCTCTCTGCTTCCAGCTTTGGGTGTGATATGACTGGTTGCTTCTAGCTCCTGCCATTATGACTTCTCCATAGCTATGGACTATAATCTGTAATTGTAAGATGAATCCTCCTGCACATTGATTTTTTTTTTTTTTTTGGTTGGGGATTTGTACGGCAGCAACAGACTAAAACCAGATCACCAGGCCACATAGTGAAATAAAATCCTATCTCAAAAAAGCAAGCAACCATCTAACTAATGAACCAAACCCCCTAAATTACCACACAGAAATAGAAGACAGAGATGCGTGCAGTGTTTGGTGTGGGTACTAGTGAGATGATAGGTTCCTTTGTATCGTTGATTGGTTATTCCAGGGTTTCCAAAGACTTTGTCCAGATTTCTTCATAGTCACATAGGTGAGATTTGTTTTTAAACTGGTGTTAACAGAGTTAGCATTATCTATTTAATGCAACAGTATGGCACATCTTCTGTATTTATGAAGTGTTGATCACTGAGAACAGCATCCTAATATTCAGTTTTCTAGTCATTCATTTACTGAAATGTACGGAATACCTGAACATTGCAGCAATTAATTAGCTGTGGTTTATTCCATGCATTACAGGAACTTGTGTCATTGGGCAAAGCTGTCATCTAAACCCTCATCCAAGACAGTTGCTGGAGGACAAAGCGCTAAGGGACCAACTTAGAACTACTCCAGATGTCCAGGAGTAGGGAACTCAAGGGAAGGGTCACAATGCAGAAAATTCTCCTATGGACATTGAATGGGTGCAGAATCCAGTAAGATGCGGGGTCACTGAAAACCTGCTGTACCTGGAGCTGAGGTACAGCCCAGTGACAGAGCCCTGGCCTAACACATGTGAGATGTGGTGTTTGGCCCAGAGCCCTACAGATGAGAGAGCGTGGAAAGAAAACTTGCTTCTAGATCTGCAACACCATGGGCTCTAATGTGGGGTTCAGGCAGTAGTTTCTAATGTGGAAGATCTAGCAAAACTTATATTCATAGCCAATGCTAACATCCCTTTGTGTATGTGTGCATGTATACGTGTATGTTCACGTGTGTATAGGTGAACATGTGTGAATGTGCATATAAAGACTTGAAGTCTTTCTTAATGTCTTCATTTTATTCATTGAGGCAGGGTCTCAGGCTAGTCCAACTGGCCAGCTTACTCCAGGTCTTAGCTTCTAAATTTAAAAATACGGGCATGGCTGCCACACCCAGCCAACATTTACCTGGGTTCTGGGGATTTGAACTCAGGTCCTCATGCTTACACAGCAAGTGTTTTACCCTCTGAGCCATATCTGCAGCCCCATGGAGTAGAAATATATATATATATATATACATATATATATGATTAAAATTGGTATTATGAATTATAAATATATATTTATATATATTTAAAGATTAAAATTGTTATTATGAATTATAAAACAAAGTTCTTAGTAATAGAAATGGTCAGAGGAAAAATAAAAAAATATATCCAGGTATAGAGCAATCACCTATAACCCCAGCACTTGGGAGATGGAAGCAGGAAGATTAGGAGTTCAGGGTCATCCTTGGCTATATAAGAATTTCATATGTCTAATTAACTGAATCTTGGGTCCCATTCTCATGATTTAATCCTGATAGTTTGGAATACATCAAAGTTTGTCTTAAAACTACTGCCACCAACACCACAAACAGACAGACAGAAAACAACAACAAGATCATTTGGAAGAATAACGGTTTGAACAAAGAATTGACATCAGTCTGTGAGCAGCCCCCATTTGCAACCCTAGCTTGTTTCCAAGCCTTAATTTATCTGCTGGTCAGTGACTTCATAGAGGTTTCTAGTCACATGTTCTAAAGAAGCACAGGTATTTGGCTAAAGAATGTACTTTATTCATTCTAATTATAGAAAGCTTCATTCACGGGAAGCAACAGAAATAATTGTGAAATATCTCAAACCTAAGGATGTTCAGCAAAGATTTAAAACATTCTGGTTTTAATAACTCAGAAAAATTAACTACTCACATCTTTGTTTCTCCAAGATAGGATCCTTCCTGGGGTCTTTAAATGTCTTGCATTTGAAGAAATATAAACAGACATGAGAATACTATGGGATGTCTCAGCAGTTAAGAGCACTGAGTGCTATTTTAGAGGACCTGAGCTCAATTCCCGGCACACATGTGTTGGCTCAAAACCATCTCTAACTCCAGTACTAGAGGAATCCAGTACCCTCTTCTGGCCTCTGAGGGCACTGAATGCATATGGTACACACACATACTGAAGCAAAACACTCATACGCATGAGATAAAATTAAGCAAAGCAACTATGAATTTCCAGACTGAAGTCATATGAGTGCTGTCTCTTCTCTTCACAGTCATGTGTTTTCATTGTTTATTTTGGACCTAGGAAAGCACAGTTAGCAGGACTTACGGATTTCCTGAGTTGCCATGGGCCACCAACTTCTCACAAATGAATTCACAGAACTAAGTTCAGAAGTTTTGTCAGGTTGCCTATCTGGGAACTTCCTTAACTTTCACAAAGAATAGGAAATGTAATGAAGCAGAAAAATTACTCTAATCTGCTGTGTATCTATTACTGTGATTTGAATGTGCCCTCCTCCCACACATGAATATTGTATATCTAATCACAAAATGAGCTCATGGAAGACGGTGTGAAGGCCAATGCTACTTCAGATCTGGTAATTGAATTTGTTTTTTAAAATGGGGAAGCCAGTTCAGGTCCCGGGGGCACAGCTGAGTAGATAAAGTGCTTGCAAAGTCACATGCCCAGAATGGAAGTTTGAAAAGCCAGATGTGGTGGCACCCATATTATGCCAGAGCTGGCGATGGGGAGCAGGGAGGGTCTATGGAGCTCCCTAGTCAGCCAGCCTAAACTCGGTGAGTTCCAGGTCAGTGGACTCCTGGCCTTCAGGCCTCCACCCTGAGTACTGGGTTTGCAGGTGTGCAGCGTCAGGCCTGGCTAATTTTTAGGTATCCTACGTGGTTTGATCCTTGTAAAAAGAAAAAAGGTGGGGGAAGGCTGACTCCCTTTCTCCCTTCCTCAGGAGAGGTTCCAGAGTGTCCTCTGCCCTGACACCAACCTCACAGCTTGACCTTCCACAGACCATTGTTGGTTTGGTTCAAATCTGCTTAATCCACTCAGCTTTCACCCACCAGGCTGGAAGAAAAGGGGATTACTTTTATCAACTGTCTCCACTCCCCAGCGGGACTTTGAGGCCCACTTAGGAGTCGCTTGATTTTTTTTTTCCGGTAAGATATAAACAGGAATTAGAAGTGGAAATGAAACAAACGGAAATCCCCAAACTGGACAGAATCAGGGCAACAAAAAGAATACAGAGTGTTTACAAGTAAGGGGCTCTATTCGCTCTCCAAGTCAAAGAGCAGTTGAGGGGTAAGTGGTCACTGATGCTTGCATTTGGGGGTGGTTTCTCATCTAAGGCTTCCAGTGTAATTAGCTTGATTTCTCGTTAATATTGCATTGCTTTTGCACAGAACAGTGCTCACCTCCAAGCCGGCTTTAGTTCCTCCCTCGTTTCCTCGGCATTCCTTTGAGACACAAAATGGTATTTGATGGCGACTCTACAAAGAGATTTTAAGTGTTAATAAGAAAAGTAATTACATTAAGAAGGAAGGAGAAAGTGAGGAACGAAGAGAAGGTGAGGTTGAAAGCTTGAAGCAGGAAGAGAAGTCTCATTTTTGTTTGTCATTGAAGCTGTTCCTCTTGGACTAGCGAGATGGGTCATTGTAAAGGCATTTGCTGTTGAGCCTGGCAATGTGAACTGCATCCTGGACCCTCAGGTGGAAATCAAGAACAATCCCAGCAAGTTGTAATCGGACTTCTTCATGTATGCCCTGGTCACATGTGGGCTCACACATATAAATAAACGTAATAAAAATTTTTAAAACAACATCCCTTTTGATTACCACGCGGGGTCCTAGGGAATTTCCTCTGTGAAGGAAACCCAGCCTCTTATTCTTTGGGTCCATGTTCACAACATCACGGAGAGGAGACCTTGTCATGAATAGCGAAGTCTCAGGAGAAATTACAAAAAGAAAAAAAATGAATGCTGAAAGTCCATGGTTGGGAGCGCTCTAGTTTCACTCTGCCAAGCATGACAAACATCTTTGCTTTGTTTGTTAAGCACAATTAAAGCTGGGGGAAGACTACCTGAAGTAATGAATTAAACCCTTCCAGAAGGGGGTCTCGAACTAGCTCACAAGCTTTCTCCTGTGATAAGGTGTGTTTGAATCCTGAATTGAAATCAATACCGTAAAGCAACGAATGCACAAGTCCTTAATTAATCTGTGGGGTTTTTTTCTTGTCGCGATCAATGAAAAAAAGCTATAATTTTCATAAGAACTTCCTGGTTTAATTTCTAGAAACAATCTCATGACCTGAGAGGGGGATTATTACCACAAAAGAATGTCCCCAGACACTTTGCAGTCGCAAGAAGCACGCTGACAGCCCCCACCCTTGGAAGTCAGTCTATGTCACAGTGCCGCAACCTGATCAAGGCGAGCCTGCATTGCAACCGCGTGCAGAAAGCACTGGCCTTCTTTGTTCGCCTGTTTCTATTTAATTCCTCATTGGATGGGAGCCTGCATCAGGCAGAATAATTATAAAATATTGCCTCATTGACGGAAGGAAGAAAACCTTCCTGGCAGGGACCACGAGCTAATTTATATAGAACACTTTCAGTGCAGAGCTGGACTTTTACTTTACATATGTGGACAGGAGCCAAGAGAAACCAGGAGTACTGGTCCAGAGGCGGAATGGAACCTTCAGAGGCAGCTGGGAAACACAAGGGCTTAGAGAGGAGTCTAGCTCGAGAGAACCAGGGAAGTTGCATCTTTGTAGCTTCGAAATAGTCCTTTTCTTTTGTAGGCACTGGTGAGGTTGCTGAGCAGTTAAAAATACTTATTTCTTTCAGCCGAGCTGAGTTCTGTTCCCAGCACCCACATGGCCCCTCACAACTTCCTGTAGCTCTAACTTCAGGGCTCTCAATGCCTCTGGAGGCGCCTGCGCTCAGAAACACATACCCACGTGCAGGCACACACATAAAATTTAAAATAATCAAAGTAAATGATTTTCATTTTTATTGAGTTAATTTTCTTTAGTGGAGGGGGCATATACCCTGGGGCGTGTGTGTGGAGATTTGAGGACAACTGGGCAGAAATCATTTTTTCCCCCGCTTCCACCAATGAGACCCAAGAATCAAACTCTGGTCATCAGGTGTGGTGTTGTGCGCCTTTAACCACGGAGCCACCTCCCTGCCCCTCATCCTTTAATCTCCGTCTTTGCTCGCATCCCCACTACTGGAGGTTTTAAGAAAATGGTGGCCCAGCATAGCTCCGGGCACGGAGGAGACTGATAGGTAAGCCGCCTTGCTGAGTCTGTAGGAAGGAGGTTTCTTCTGTGGTAGAAGCAGCAAGGACTGAAAGCGAATTATTGTCGTGTGAGCTGCCTGCCCCTACTTTCTGCAGCTGACAGCAGCCCATCAGGGAGTGACAGTCACCTCACCAGCCATCCAGGCAAAGAACAGCCGAGTGCCATACACCACCTCGGCTGTGCCATGTTGCTGCCGAGGAAGGATCCGAGGCCTTGACTGTCGTTTGTCCTAGGTCAGTGTTCTGTCTTGTTCACCTAAGAGAACACTAATAGATGTGGGTTTTTAAAAACACTTTGTTTGTTTGTTTGTTTGTTCGTTTGAGACAGAATTTCTCTGTAGCTTTGGAGCCTGTCCTAGAACTTGTTCTGGAGACCAGGCTGGCCTTGAACTCACAGAGATCCACTTGCCTTTGCCTCCTGAGTGCTGGGATTAAAGTCACCTTCTCTTAATGGGATATTTTCACAGGAATTTTCCTGTTCTCTTGGTTTTTGAGGCAGCATCTCATGTCACCCCAGCTGACTCAGGACTCACTGAGTAGCCTAGAATAACCTGGAATTCCTGGTCCCTACTGTCCCACCTGCCTGGTGCTGGGATTATGGGTGTGAGCACCCAACCATGAGTTTTTTTTTAAGTTCTATACAATTCTGAAACTTGACTTATCTTTTTGAGTGAATATGGTCTTGTACCTATGACATAATTTGTACACACACACACATACAACTTGTATACATACACAGACAGATTCAACACAATAACACATACAGTTTGTACACGTACTCAAAACTATCTTTTATTCTTCTGCACAATGGGATAAACTCCAGATCAGAGCACAGGTGTTCTATATGTACAGGTGTTCTACCACCGAGTCATTCTCAGTCCTTGGTTTTTTTGTTTTTGTTTTTTACTTTCTCTATTACTCAGCTGGTTTTTACCTTACGATGTTTTCTCTTTCTGCGCCCTGATTGCTGGGATTGTTTACTGACTTACACCACCCTTAAAATCGCCTTGTTAGTAGGTGTGTTCTTGTTCTACTTATTTCAGTGCTTCAAGGTGAACTCACGGCTTGCTTTGCATATCTTTAGCAAGAGCTCCAGCACTGATGTAAGTTCATAGGCTGGGCATCATTTCATTTTCTTTTACCTTTTAAGAATTGTTATTTATGAATTTTATTTATGTATTAAATTATTTAATGTGTGTGTGTCTGTGTGTGCGTGAGAGAGAGAGAGAGAGAGAGAGAGAGAGAGAGAGAGAGAGAGAGCACAGAAGCGTGTCAGCTGGAAGTGAGACTCAGAGGACTCATTCTTTCCTTCTACCATGTGGGTTCTAAGGGTCAAGCTCGGGTCATCAGGCTTGGCAGTAAGCCAAGTCATTTTATTACTAGTTTATTATATACCTTGCTTCCCTCTAAAGTATATTTAGAAAAAAGTTACAAGATTTCACAAAATGACAGACAAATTACATTGAAGTAATTAGAACAGAATCAAACAAAATGCAAAATTTGGAACATAAAATGGTCTGGGTAAAGTAAAACAGAAAGCACAGGCCTAGATGCCCAGGACGGGAGCGGAGCACTTGTGCTTAGACAGTAGTGGTGTTCACCACCAAGCAGTTCAGAAGGCTGTAACTATTCTGACCCTGCTCTCTGGATAGAATTGGCTTTTGTTGTCTGTCCCTGAATATCCTTGCAAGGAGCATGCATGGTGTGGTGCGATCTGAGGCCCCTTCCTCAGACACCTGCAGGAGTTTCACAGCAGGGCATCTGATCCCCTGGAATCTCGTGAACACCATCCCAGGTGGAGCAGGGGAGAGCAGAGGTCAGCACGACAGTCACCTGAATGTGGAGCACACGGGAGCTGCCTTGCAAAGCCTGAGACAGGATCTCATGTAATCCAGGCTGACCTCAGGCTTGCTCCCTAGCCCTGCCTAGCAGTGAACTCTGATCCTCCTGCTGCATCCACCGCCACGCGCTGGAATTCCGGCGGAGCTCCATCACACCAGACTTTGAAATCCGACTTTACCAACAGCTGTTGTGATTATTAGTGCAGGTGTTGGGAGCACAGGCTCTGGAGTCAGGCCTGGCTTTGGAGCCCAGCCTCGATTGTCATCTCTTACCTGGGTGAACACGTCAACTACACAGTCCTGCTGTGACCTCAGAGAGATGGCCACAGTGGGATGCTTGCTAGGTGATCTTTCTAAGAAGCATGCCTGTTACTCACAGAAGGTGCTACAAATGGGCTTGTTCTCCTGATTAGAGCCACGCCCACCGAGGTTTGAACTAAGTAAAAGTAATTCAGGGTTCAGTACATTATGGAACAAATAGGCCTGGTTGGCTGGCTTTGGGAGGTATGAGTTCTTCTCTGCCCAGCTGTGTGGGTCCGGATTTGACAGGGTGTACGTGCATGTGGGTGATTTCTGCCACATGCCACTGACAAGGGTCCTCAGGTCGCACTTAGCCAGGGGCCAGTCTGGGCTGGAGGGGGTCAGGAAAGGTTTTCTCACTTGTCTAGTACCACGGGAAGGACTGACTGTAAATCTAGGCTCAGCGAAGACTCAAAAGTGAAGCGCCTGTTGTTGATCAATACAGCGCACAGCCTCTCTGTGCCTCGGGCTTCTCACAGAGAAACTGATTTCCTGGAAGCTTGTCACCATGAGACTTGGGTGGGAACAGTAAAGTGTCCAAAGGCTTAGAAGTTCTAGAACATGCTTTCCTTTGCACTCTGTTGTGGCCAGCGTAGATTCAAGCTGAAGGGAACTTGACTCAACCTCCCAGTAGGAGGGGGATGAAGAGTTCACCATCCATCGCTTCTAGTCCAGGACGGCCGTGAAACCAGCCACCACATGGCTGCGAAGACGTCCTCCTGCAGCTGTGAATGCGCTGGATAACGATATTCAGCAAACGTGCGCAGGTAATTTGATCTGTTGCTCGGGCTGGTGTCATTATCTCGGGGTCTGAACAGCTGATTAGAATAACTCTGTGTGCCATAGCCTCATCATTAGCTAATAATTATAGGGAGAACCAATCTTCTATAACCTATTACAACATAATGAGATTGCCCTTATTACTCACCAATCAATCAACCCCATCAAGTTTGCCCTTGTTTGATAGAACAAATACACTTAATAAGTGATACTATTTTAAAAGTGCATTTGTACTTTCTGGGTATATGCATATATACATACATACATATATATATATATATATATATATATATAATGCTTTATTAATACTCTATTCGTGTACCTTTATCTCTGCTTCTTCTCATCACAGGTTTTGATAATTTTGTGCTAGACAACAGGATGGGGTGTTCCTCAGATCTCACAGCAAGCAAACTGCTAAATTTTGTTCAGGGAATTGTGGAACTGGGCTGAAAAATGACAATTGGATCTCTCCTTAAGAGGTCATTCTAATCCCCAATGCCCCGTCCAAACGGCACACAGTTTGAGACTTCTGGGTTTTCCCTTTCCCCCTCTACATTGCTGCCTTTTGGTTCTGTGGCAGGGAGCAATTCTCACTAGAA